ACTGGACTTCAAGCAACGTGGATGAAGTGCCTCTCTTCTTTTCCTCCAGACTCTGGGACCTTGATTTCCAAAGAAAATGCAAAATTTACTTTCATCAGAGAACATGACTTTGGACCACTCACCAGCAGTCCAGTCCTGTTTCTCTTTAGCCCAGGCAAGACGCTTCTGACGCTGTCTGTGGTTCAAGAGTGGCTTGACACAAGGAATGCGACAGCAGAAACCCATGTCTTTCATACGTCTGTGTGTGGTGGTTCTTGAAGCACTCACTCCAGCTGCAGTCCACTCTTTGTGAATCTCCCCCACATTTTTGAATGGGTTTTGTTTCACAATCCTCTCCAGGGTGCGGTTATCTCTCTTGCTTGTACACTTTTTTCGACCACATCTTTTCCTTCCCTTCGCCTCTCTATTAATGTGCTTGGACACTGAGCTCTGTGAACAGCCAGCCTCTTTAGCGATGACCTTTTGTGTCTTGCCCTCCTTGTGCAAGGTGTCGATGGTCGTCTTTTGGACAACTGTCAAGTCAGCAGTCTTCCCCATGATTGTGTAGCCTATAGAACTAGACTGAAAGACCATTTAAAGGCTTTTGCAGGTGGTTTGAGTTAATTAGCTGATTAGAGTGTGGCACCAGGGGCCATCAATTTTGAACCTTTTCACAATATTCTAATTTTATGATATGATGAATTTGAGATTTTCATTTGTTGTCATTTGTAATCATCAAAATTAAACAAAATAAACATCTGAAATATATGAGTTTGTATGTAATGTATGAATATAATATACAAGTTTCACTTTTTAAATGGAATTACTGAAATCAATCTACTTTTTCATGATATTCTAATTTTATGACCAGCACCTGTATATTGGATATTGTATTTAGGTACAAGTTTCTTATAACCTACAAAATTTAGCATTTTTCTAAAAAGAGACAGGATCAAAATTACCACTTTTTTTTTATTTTATTTTACTTTTTCTCTTTTCTTGTGTAGATGCCTCTATATTTAACAAGTGAGAGTCTGGGGGTATCGTGGAGATGCATTAATAAATAAAAGAACATACTCAATTCCCTGCTGTTCTGAATTAATAACGAGCCTACAAAAGACCAATTAAACGCATGATTAATGCCATAATCTATATAATTGCAGGCAATATTTCATTGGGAGCTAATGATACAATACTTAATATTGATTCACATGGGGTGTTGCGGTGCAGTAGTGCTTAATTCTCTCTATGCAGTGTCACTTTTTAGAACTGTTAAAAAAGCCATTAGTCTGTTTCCTAGGGCAATGAGTGGATAAACTGTAAAATGGTCAACAACACTAATTGCTCTCTGTATTTTAAACACTTGTCTGTTTTTTCCTCAATTATTTTGAGGAAAACCCACGAGTGTTTAAGAAAATGAACAGAATTTAAATGTAAATAAAAAAAAGCTTCAAGAACACAGTGTCCCATTTCCCTAGCACTGACATGATACAAAATTTTGTGACATTTTTTGTAGAATATTCAATCAGGTACAGTAGCATCTTTTGTATGTCATTTTTATTACCGGATTCAATAAACTTTAAACAAGATCTAAATGAGCATCTTGATATCAGAATTTTCTTTGCTAATACAAGTTAATTCCTGCACTTTCAATTGTTTAAATAAGTGTGTGGATGAGAGCTCTTTGAGCATCTGTCTCTGCCGGAAAACCACTGGAGAGATGCAGAGGAAGATGAAAAATGGCATATTAAACATTAAGGATGAGGGAATAGAACAGCAATTATTTCTATTCATATTTCATTGAAAACACTTAGATTCATTCATCCATCTTTTTATCTCCCTTCCTTGCCTGTTTCTCCTTTGCTCACTTTTGAAATGTATCCTACAGTTCACTTTTTGCTTTTAAATGTGTGTTCCTCTCCCCCTTTGATTTTTTAAACTCTGGTTCCATGAAACCAGACATTTTTTAACCTGCTCAAGTTTTTTGATAATAGTTCTTTAGACTTTTTTATGGTTTTAAACCTTTTGTTAGGAATATGGTTTTCTGTCCTGTAAATTTTAATCTTAATCTGTCTCTTTAATCTCTGGCACGCTTACAGGTTTGCAACCGAGAATTTGTTTTTATTATTACTCTGCCAGTTTGGTCTTTAAAAAATCATTAGTTTGTGGTTTTTCCCCATCCTCCTCTAATTAAAATAGATGTCATAATTTCAATTTGGCCATAAACGTTAACTATTTTGATGTTTAATCGCCTTATAACTTTTTTATTTTAATTAGTAGTAGTAGCAATTTGCAGATCTTTTTCTGAGTTTCCTCAGTTTGACAAAAGAATAATTGAATTGTACCTTTTTCAGGATCTTTATTCATTAAAGATAATAAATATTAATTCAATCCAGTCAAAAACATCTTCCAAGTCATGTACAGACACTAAATTTATGTTAGTAGTGACACAATGGAATTACGTTCAGTTTATCATTTTAATTTTTTTATAAAAGAAAGAACTGTACAATGCATCAATGTATCAATCAAAGCAAGCATGTGGGGACAGTGGAAAGGAAAACTCAATTTAACTGTAAAAAAAAAAAAGGCTCAGTGCAAAGCCTTCTGCCATGACTGGGGTTTAGAAGATAGAGCATAAACATGAAATAACAAAACGCTAATCCAGGAGTTCTTTCATGGTTAAAGAAAAGCAAAAAGTCAATGGCAGTATAATCTATTTTTTTTTTTGGCTTCATCTATTAGAGAAACATAGCAAAGCATATAAGCTCTGAAAGAGTTCTAAGGCCTCTAATATGAAGGAGAGGACATGCAGCTAGCTGCAGTAAAAGCTCAGTCTAGGAGAGGGACAGGTTTGTCATGATCATAGCACTGGGAACTTAATATTTGCCCATTTCACTCACCTCTGCCCAGTGACCAATTATCACTCATATTATCTACCTGCTCATGGTGCTTTATATAGAGCTTAGCACAGCTATCGGGGCATGATCATTGACATTGTTTCAGAATTTTGAGTTGGATTATTGTGTTGCTGATTTTGATGTTCTCATTCTAGGAGGCCAGTGGTGAGAGGTTTTTAGTATTGCCGTAGTTTTACTGATAATTTCCTGGCTCTTTTCCACTGAACGTGCCCTGCTCCAGCTTTGGCTCAGTGGAGGGAGCTAGCTGTAACGTACCATAGTTTCCCCTAACATGCCTTGTTCTGCCTCTCAACTACTGCCCTTTCCTGTTCCCATCTGAACGTTCTGTCTGAACTCTCTGTTGGACTCTTGGAACCATGAACCTGCCTGTTCCTGTTCTGATCGGTACCCCTGACTAGGCTAAGGACTCCTAGATCTCTGAACCTACCTGTTCTGAACTATTTCCCTGACCTGGCTCAGATTCATGCTCGTTCACTGGGGCTGCAGCACCTGGTTCACTCTGGGTGGCTCCTGCTGCATCTTGATGGCAGTCCATCGGCTGGATCCTACTGTACCTCGCTCTAAGGAGTTGGACTGAACTGTTAAACCAGGTAAGTGACTCACATGGATAATCTTCTGTCAGATTATCGTGGTTACAGGCGGTCCCCCGGCCCACTCAAGCTGCTGCAGATCTACAGTCCGACAGAGTCTGTTATTTTTTAAATAAACCTTTTGAATTTTCTCACTGTCTGCCTCGCCTTGAATAATGGGTCCTTCTGTCCTGTTTTATGACAAGCTTAACAAAAGAAAGGCAGGACCAAGTGGATCATCTATGGAGGGACGTTAGTGTTGATCCGAGTTATTGTTAATCTTAAATGCACTGAAATCTTAATTATTTAAAAATAATAAAATCATTATCTCATCTGAAGGTACAGTGAGTTGTTTGGATTGAAATTTGGTAAATGACACTGATTTACCTTTTTATCAATAATGAAACTCATTTGTTTATGAAGATTAATATAGTTTATATAATTTACGCAGGATGAAGACCATATTATTATTATTATTAGACCCTAACATAAATAAATCAATCTAATAATCTGCTTTACCATAACTAACATTTGAAAAAAATAGAGCATTCCTCAAAGAAGCATATGTTGTGACACAGAGCTCAAAAGCAGATAGTTTTAAAGAAAGGAAGAGATAAAAGAGGAAGAGGGACAGCCTCAGAAGTGGTATTGGCTAAATGTTTGCTTTTCCACTGTCTCACTGGAGGATATAGAAATTGCACATACACACACGCACTGGTTGCTTACTCTGGCACTTGGGCCTGGTACAGTATTACAGCGGCACATTACCATCTCTATTTGGCATTGTTTGCTTTGCCTCATGCCTACACATACAAACACATGCTCACAACCCCTGGCCATACAAGCCAACCACAGACACCATGGGAATAGGCAGTTGGATACTGGCAAAGCTGAAACCTGGTCTGAATCCAAGATGGAGCAGAATAAAAAGCTGTGAAGCGTGTAAATGCCTCTGAATTTATGCTCCAAAAATTTGCACCTTTGTACATTTAAAATTAAGAAAAAAGTGGGGATAAGCAAATCAGACCTAGAGCACTGAACGTTTTAGTTTGTTTTATTCATGTTTCAAAAGATCATAGCGTAGGGGTTGGGGGGTTTACTGCTTTCAGATTGTTAGAAAACAGATTTAATTGGCTGTCACAGACCTCAAATCTTTAAGTTAATCCAAGCATTTTAACTGTTTCCGCTGTGCTTTATTCAAACATATTTCAACATTTTAAAGGACTATTCATTCATAGAAACAAAATAACAAATAACGTCACATTAAAAAAGGAAAGAAAGAAGAAGAAGCAAAAAGGGAGATGAGGAGAGGAACAAGTGTTAAAATGTAAGTGAAAGGAAAGAGATCTAAAGAAAGATTTTGAGAGAACAAATCCTACAGGAAAGTAAAAAATTATGGAGTAAGACATATTCAGAAGAGAAGAGATATTATGATAACACTTAAAGAAAGCAGTTGTTTATGGAAAAATTTACAAAAAAGTCAAGTACAAAATTAAACAAATGGAAAACGGCAAGAGACTGATTCATTTCTTACCCGTCACAGTATAATTTTTACGTCCACCACTGTGTGTGACTATGGTTCCGACTCCAGTCTGATTCAGGTGGTACCTCTGGATGACTCCATTTGGACGAGAAGGCACAGACCAGTTGATGTGGAGAGAGGTGGAGCTAACAGCTGTTACCACCGGAGGCTCTACATTCTCTGGAACCCCCTGGGCTGTCACTGCCACCACCTAAACATAACAAACAATGTTACAAAAAATGGTTCAATGATGAGTGTTGGCCTAGTGGGTTAGAGCTGTGCACTTGTGTTCTGAGAGGGCTGCAAGTACCAGGTTCAATCCCCACAGCCTCCACCCTGGGTTCTTGAGCAAAACGCTTAACCCCTGATTGCCCGGGTGCCACACAGTGGCAGCCCACTGCTCCCCAAGGGGATGGGTTACATGCAGAGAACGAATTTCCCCATTGCGTGACAATAAAGGGATTTACATTTATTTTATTTAAAATACATTTTAAAAATGTACTGGGTAAATAAAAGAGGAAATCTCTTTAATAGCTGGGTTTAATATTGGGTTAGGGCCTGCCACTTTAAAATGAGTAGATTCAGTTCTAAGCCAAGTAGTCGGAGGTAATAATGACAATAATTATTATAATGATCAATATTAAGTGCTTAAAACAAAATAAAAAATAAAAAAGATAAGTGTGAATAAACTATCAAAATGAGAAAGTTGTCCTTGTCTACTTATTGACCCCCCTATCCCCAATAAGGAGCTTCAGTGAGATTGGATCGTTTATGCCCTAAACAGCTGGATTTCTCTCCGCCTTTTCCTCAGAAAAACAAGGTAGGCCTATAATAATTAAATGATAACTAACCATGCTTCTTGCAGAGCCTGTTAAGAAACATTGAAGGGAGAAATAATCACCTTTTGCCATTGGTAAGCTAGAAAAGCACTCAGAGAGCTCAGTCCTCCACCAAGCAGCAAATTTGTCCTCATATTGTGACCTAAAACTATAGCTAAAACTCACACGTCTAAATCATGATTTTTGGAGTCCAATTCTGAAGCTGTCAATAGTCACTGTTGCCACCCTCTGGTTCAGAGAGGGAATTGCTTGTTTCCTCCATAAATCATTATGTCACAAGGTTACCGAAACCCATAGGCGTAACTTCCTTAAGGACTGGTGTGGACATGTCCCCACCAATCTTGACCGGTAGGGGGACAGTCCCCACCAATATTTTGTACACGTATTTTGCTTTCGGTGCTGTGTATATCTGATTAAAACCCCATTCATGCTGCTCCTCAGAAAGAAAATAAAAAAAGTTCTCCCCGCTGCTCACCGTCCACAAACCCCGACAAAAACCTCAGAAAAAAGAATCTGTTGCCTCTTGCTTTCTCCCCATCACCCCCCTCCGCCCTCTCCCCATAACACCTGTCGCTTCCCTCCAAAAATGCTAACCCATTCAAAGACAGCAGTGGACTCAGACTTGCAGGTGAGAGGGACTTGTGGAAATATTAAGACCTAATTTTAGTCAGGAGAGACTTAAAGTAGTAAAAGAATAGAGAATAGTGTAAAAATAAGTGAATACCGTATTTAAAATATAACTGAACCGATAGCCTATGATGGGTTAACGGGTCGGGTTGCGGGTTAAATATCAACGGGTCGGGTCGGGTTCGGATTTGAATTGAAGATATCCGCGGGTTCGGGCGGGTGCGGGTTGGTAAAACTCGACCCATGCAGGTCTCTAAGCTACACTACATTCAGTATCGTTACCATAGAAACAGACAACAGCGCCAATATATCAGAATTATACTAAAACACACGCAAATAATTTCCCACATAAAAAACAGGACTTTCAGTCCATTACAGTTTTCCGTTTTTAGAGGGTTGTTTATTTTGCGTTTATTAAGTGATGGCTGTGGTATATTAGCTTTCACTGCTATAAGCTTTCGCAGCAGTGATTGATTAATTTAAACACCTGCTCTACTGATGGTCTATCGGAGTTGGTGTTTAGGTTGAACATAAAGAACACCTTTTATTTGAAGCTTCTTGTAGCTACTGTTTTAATCCCGGCTTTACTTAAAACTTTTTCCTGACTTTGATAGTGTTGCCATTCAGTAGCAAGCACTGCGCCCCTTTTTCTTTTATATGTACACGTACATTTAAGATTTAGCGTGTTAAGTTGACAACTCATGAGCAAGCTGCTTTTTGCAATCTAGCAGGGAGATGTGACGTCACTCTGCAGGGGGTCCAAAGATAAAAGATTTAAACAATTTTGCCATTGGAATTTCAGATTTAAGGGAGTTAGAAAGTTCACTTAGTAAAAGTGCAAATAATAAATCTGATTACCGCTTACTTTTAAGCTGGTTGAACATACTGCGACAGACTGGTGACCTGTCCAGGGTGATCCCACCTCTCACCCAGAACGTGGCTAGAGATATGCACCAGCACTTCCTGATCCCACTGAGGGATAAGGTTAAAGAAAATGGATGGTTGAACATAGTCCGCTCTCCCAGATTCTATCAAATCAGTATTGATACCCTCAGGGGCGGATTTAGGAAATTTGGGGCCCTAGGCAAAGACAGGCAGGGGGCCCCCTGAGAAGTAAACCCATAAAACAGACCCATTCTACAGATAGAGAAATGTTAATAGAATAGACATCCATTATTTGTTCTAGGTTTTGTCCCTCTCTTCTTGTCCCTTTTTCCTCTCAATTTATCAGCGTTCTGATGGCATTTTAGCCAAAGGATTTTTATCAAAAACATAATTAATGTGCACAAATAAGGATTAGTTGTATTAACCATACATGACATGGAAACAGAGTTTTATGGGGCCCCCAGGAACTTGGGGCCCTAGGCAACTGCCTAGTATTGCCTAATGGTTAATCCCCCCCCTGGATACCCTGCTGGTGGATGTTCTTGACAGAAAGACGGAGTTGCTTAATCATATTCTGCTTAAGGTCCCATAAGATCTTGTCCGAGTCGTGGTTTAAAAGTAAATTCATTTTAAAAACTGACCCAAAATTGACTGTCAATAAATGTTCTACAAAATTGATATATTTATTTGATTTCTTTGATTTGTACTGTCTGTTTAGATTTATGTGATATTTTTTGCACAAAATATATAAGTGAATATTGTAACAGTTATGTTTTCAACTGTAAGCATTAAATTGATAAATGTTATTCGCATTTTTTTGGCTTTATCCTTTCCAACAAAAAAAAAAAAGGCGTCGCGCAGGTAGCTCCCTTTCCTTATGAGCCGTCCCCACCAACTTTCAACACAAAGTTACACCCTTGCCGAAACCTTAAAAAAAGAATCAGGATTACAATCTGGATCATTACCAACATGTAATGGATTGTTTCTTCACATGAGGTTCACCACTGGTAAAAAAGTTAAATTCGATCATAATTTTTCAAGTTATCCTGTACACAGACAGAAAGACCGACACAGACTCTCCTAAAACCATATGCTCCTTGACGGAGTAAAGATGGGGAAACATGCAAAATAAGGTTTGCACAAACTGTCTGCTGAACTGCAAACACAAACAATTTGCACCTTCTTAGAAGATCTGCTTCACACAAAAACACATTCACATGATGCTCAAAAATTCTGAAGATCATGCCCATAGAACGTAGCGTGTGAGATAAAATTCAACCTCATATCATCACCTGTTGGTTGTGCAACTGAACCGCGGCTAACAAACTAAAATAGATTTTAAAAGCACAGGCCACCAACTACTTTATGTTTAGGATAATACAAAATTACCATGCCATGAAAACTTATTGAGTCATTATTGTCCATCCCCTAATGCAAATCCAAGCTCTCTGACCTCTCTGACCAAACAACAAAAAATAACTAACATCTTAATAGTTATACATACTAAAATATAGCTCAATTACTTTATTTGCAACTTTATTATAATAAAAAGATAAACTGTTAGAAATTTCAACTCTTGTTTTACAAGATACAATTGCTTAGTATCAATTGTAAATTCCTTGTGTTGTATCTGTAGGGCTTGGTGGTAGAGGTGAGAAATGCAGGGATCTCAGAGTCGGAGGGCAATCTGCTGCTAAAGGCAACAGGGATATCCTGCCGTAATAGACTGTCACTAGCACTTCCAGCAGCTGTCCCACACAATGCTATGCAATTAGATCGCTGCTACAACAACTAAGGAGACATAAAAACACGGGCACAAAGATAAACACACACAGGTAGATGTGAGTATATGCATTCAAGTACAGAGAAGAAGAAGAGGAAGAAGAGAAGCAAACAGCAAAAGTGGAAAGGCAGACAGAGCTAAAGAAGACTGAAGAAAATGCGGTATCTCTCAGGAAGGTTTCAGTGTAGTAGAAGTTTAAATGTCAGTCAAGACTTTACTCAAAGGTAAGGAAATAAAAAAGCACAACATGTGATTTGATTAGAGCATAGCTCTTGGAATAAAACAAAAATATTGGAATTTTGGGAGAGAATACTGGAATATAAAGCTGCTAGGTATGGGCTGTACTGAGAGGCAAATTAGACCCCTTTTTATTCCGATAGGACCTTAGACAATATCACTATAATGTCTAGCCCATTCTAACCCATTACGGGTTGGAATACAATAACAATTTACAGTTAAGCTCAAGAATAACATTTATACTCAAGCTGTTAGGGTCTCTGGGGTGCTGCTGTTTTTCTGGTGTGAGTGAGGTTCCTGTCACAGAGAGGATCTTTTCTTGTGGCCAGGCCAACCCTTGTTGCTGCAAAACTGAGAACGTTTCACAATCAAGATAACTAGTGTGTATATATGGTATGGAGGTGAAGGATCATCTCTCGTCACCAAATGATTACCCCTGATGGTATTCCAGCCAAATACCTAAACCAGGAATATCTTTTTTTTTTAAATGTGTCTTCTTGTGAATCTCTTTTAATGTGGACTCTGTTCCAGGCAACCAGTGTTTCTCAGTTGGTCTCTAAACTTCATGGAAAAGCTCTTTCCTTTCTTTAGCAGTTCTCAGTCTTCATCTCCTACCGGCCCCCTCTTGCAAATACCATCTCTCTCTTGGATCTCACTCACATTTTCCTGGACCTCAGGGGTTCAGTCTGCAAAGCCTGCTGAATCAAACCTCTACAGACCCATGCCACCTCCCCTTCATCTCTCAAGAAAGCAATTCAATCAATCGGTCATCAGTTGTCACCAACAAGCTCCTTCCTGATCAGTCTGCTTTCTCCCCTCAGACCAACCAGAAAGTTCACC